CTTCTCTCCATTAAAAGATGCATGAAATATTACTCTCGAAATCGTAATATACTTAAAATGTCAAACAAAGTGGCACATAATTCAGCAATACTACTAAAATAAAAGAAAACTGAATATATTCATACAATATATTTAATAACTTGAATTGATTTTTAGGGAAATCTAGTTAAATTTGCAAATAGTGTGGGATTTAAAGATGGGAATCCTACTCGTTTAGCAATGATGCATTTATATGGCCAAATAGAAATGGAACTGTATTTATAAATCAGATAGCCATCCGACCAGAAAAAAACATGAGTAAATATAAATACAATCAATGACGAGCTCCAAAATCTATAGGGCCTACTGATGGCCAAAGCCGGAATGAAAGGGTTAGTTCACCCAAACGTGAAAATTCTGTTATTAATTGCCCACTCACTAACATTGTGTTCCAATCCCGAGACCTTCACTAAATCAAGATATTACAGATCAAATCTGTGATCTCCCTAATACTCTATAGATGGCAAGGGTCCCGATATGTTCAGAAAAGGAAGCAAAAAAAACAGTCAAAATGTGACTTCAGTGATTCAGCTGTAATCATATGAAGCTCCAAGAACACTTTAATGAGCCAAAACATTTTTAAAAATGACTTACTTTTTTGTTTTTTTTTAAATGCACATTTATTACAGGCAATACAAAGGCAAACTAAGTCATTTTAATAGTTTGTTTGGTGCACAGAGTTGTTCTTGAAGCTTCAAATGATTGCATTTAAACCACCGAAGTCACATGGAATGCATTTTCAGATTTCTATTTTAGACTACAAGGCTAAACTATTTTTTTTTTCTTAATAACATTAAATTACCTCAAAACTAGCAATGTGGGCTAACAAAATCATTTATTTTTGATTTCATGCGTAATCTCAAGGATATGGATTAGGGGGCGGAGCCTGTGGTCTGGAACGCTGTCTAGATGGTTGAAGGCGGATCCAACAATCTGCTCTGCCAAACCCTCGATACCATAAAAGTCTTGCTGCAAGCAGGGACCCACATTACCCAGAACATGGTAACTAAAAAAGGGTCAAAAGAGAAACGTGTTAACAGGACCAGGAAAATGAGTTTACAGGATAGAAGAGTAATCGAATAAAGACAAATTAATTGTTCTGACCAGTTTTCGAAGAGTGAGGAGAAGAAGCCTTGCATGCGCTCAGCAAAGTTTTTGTACACCGCCGCCTCATAGGAGTCTAACACTACCTGAGAGATTCCTGGAGGACACAGCTGAAGTCATTTCTTTAAGACAGCACTAAGAAAATACATCATTTTAGGTAGATATCTGGCAGGGGCAGTTGTCAGAATTTTACTGCTAAAAGCATAAACATGATGGCTCAGTGGTTAGCACTGTCGCCTCACATCAAGAAGGTCGCTGGTTCGATTTCCGGATGGGTCATTTGGCATTTCTGTGTGGAGTTTGCATGTTCTCCCCGTGTTGGCGTGGGTTTCCCCCACAGTCCAAACACATATATAGGGAACTACTTGGCCGTAGTGTGTGAATAAGTGTGGTTGGGTGTTTCACAGAGATGGGTTGCAGCTGAAAGGGCATCCACTGTGTAAAACATGTGCTGGATAAGTTGGTGGTTTCTTGAAGATCAGAACATATATCTGGACAAGTTAAATTTGACATCTACAGGTAACCCTAAATGATCTTCCAGTGAGGTAAGACTTCAACCAGAGGAGCGAGGGGTCCAGTAATGCCCACTGAGGAGAGGGAGGAGGGCAAAAGTTATTGTTTGTTAGAGGACAGAACAAATTAGAAACCTACCTAAAACACAATTCTTCTCCATGTCCGTAATGTCATAGACTCTAGCAAAGGTCTTGCTGAGCCGGGTGATGTTCTCCGGCAAGAACAAGCTGTTGTTGGTCCTGAAAGACAGAAAAATATAAGACTTTGTGTTTAAAATAGTTGAATCAGGTTTGAAAGATGCAATGTAATTTAGTAAAATGACCTCAAGGACAGTCTGTTAGATAAAATCACAGTTATACTGACATTCATTTCCCCAAATACTGATGTATTCTGCTTTTGAGTGCATCTAGAGCAGGGATGTCAAACTCAATTCCTGCGANNCTNANTCATCAGACCACAAAGTCCTTATTCAGGGAGGTGATCAATAACCTGATGGTCACTCTGTCTGAGCTCCAGTGTTCTTCTGTGGAGAGAGGATAATCTTACAGAAGGACAACCATCTGTGCAGCAATCCACCATTCAGGCCTGTATGGTAGGCGGAAGGTACTCCCTGCCTGGAATCTGAAGCACTCTCAGACCGTTAGAAACACAATTCTTTGGTATGATGAGACTAAAATTTAACTCTTTTGAATGAATGCCAGGTGTTACATTTGGAGAAAACCATGCAACGCTCATCACCAGGCTAGTACCATCTCTACAGTGAAGCATGGCGGTGGCAGCATCATGCTGTGGGGATGTTTTTCA